AATTCGAGGAGGTATCATGGCCCCAGCCATTGTGTGCACCCCGCCCAATCATGACCGGAGGAGGAGGAGGAGGAGGAGGAGGAGGAGGAGGAGGAGGAGGAGGAGGAGGAGGAGGCCCCCTCTCTGGCGGCAACCGTGCAGCGCCGCAGTCACGCCACACGACGCGCCGCCTCTTTCGCGGGGCAGCACAGAACGCAGCCGAGTACCGGTCGGCACGGACCCTGCTCCTCAGCCTCGTCATCCCTCCTCTGTGCCTCTTACCCCTCATAGCATCCTGCTGCTCCTCATTGCTCTCCCCCTCCTCCTCCCTCCTCCCTCCTCCCTCCTCTTCCTCCTCCTCCTCCTCCTCCTCCCGCTCTTCCCTATGCAGCCACGTCTCCCCACCTGGATTGCGAACCGAAGCACACTTGGCACGACAATGCTCGCCCACCCTTCGGGTGACAAGGAGGTTCGGGGGGGGGAACCAACGTCTCACTCAATCGATCTCACAATCGATGCCACAATCGATACCACTCTATCGATGTGACGATTGATGTCAATATCGATCTCTTGAAACCGATCACACAACCAATCTCATTATCCTTATCAATATCGATCTCGAAATCGATCTCGATACCGACTTCGCTATCGATCTAACCATTGATCTGCCGATCGATCCCACATTCGATCCCACTATCCCGCTAACAACCGATCTCACACTCGATGTCACTATCGATCACACTATCGACATCACAATTGATCTCAGCATCGATGATACAATCGATATAGATATCGATATCGCTACCGTTCCCACGATCGATCCTACGATCGATCTCCTCATCGATCCCAGTATCGATCAAATCATCGATATCACTATCGCCCTCACTACCTATCTGATTCACTCGAGATCACCATTATGTTCACTATCGTTCCCACTATCGACCTTACTATCACTATCACTATCGATCTCACTGTCGGTCTCACTATCGATCTCATGTTCGCCATCACTATCGACCTCTCTGTCCATCCGACCATCGATCTCACTGTCGATCTCACCATCGATATCACTATCGATCTCACGAACAATATCACTATCGGTCTCACTATCGATTCCACGATCGATCTCACTAGCATTCTCACTGACGACCTCCCTATCGATCGCACGATCGATATAAGTATCGATCCCACAATCGATCTCACTATCAATCCCACTACCGAATTGACTATCAATCCTATTATCGATCGAACGGTCGATCTCACTATCGACCTCACTGTGGATCGAACTACCGATCTCACCATCGATATCACAACCGATCTCAGTATCGATCCCCCGAACGATCTAACAAACGATCACACCATCGAACTCAGTATCGATATGTAAATCGATCCCACTATCGATTCCATTATCGACCTCACCATCGACCTCAATATCGACCTCACTATCAATCAAACTGTCTATGACAAATCGATATCACTACCAAGTATGATCCGGATCTCACTATCGACCTCACTATCATTCTCACTGTCGTTGTCTCGAATCATCTCGCTATCGACCTCACTGCTGATCTCACTATCGGTCCCACTATCGATCACACTATGCAACCCACTATCAATCGCACACTTAGACTCACAATCGATCTCACATCCGATGACACGATCGACACCACAACCGATTTCACAATCAATCTCATTATCGATGTCACTGGCGATCTCACAGGCGTTCTCACGTTCGATCTCACTATCGATCTCACTATCGATCCCACAACCGATACCACTATCGATGACTCTGCCGATCTCACTACCAGTCGCACTATCGGTCCCACTATCGATCTCACGATCGATCCTACAATCGAACTCGCAATCGACATCACGGTCGATCTCGCGTTCGATCCCACAAGCGGCCTCACTGCCGATCTCACTATCGATCGTACTATCGATCTCACCACCCATACCACGATCGATATCACTATCAACCCCAATATAGAACTGACTAGCAATCCTACTATCGATCGAACTACCAATCTCCCTATCGACCTCACTGTCGATCTTACAACTCACAACCGATCTCATTATCAATATCCCGAACGATCTAACAAATAATCAAACCATCGAGCTCACTATCGATCTGAAAATTGATCCCACTATCGATCTCACCATCGATCTCACTATCCTCACCATCGATCTCAATATCGACCTCACTATTCATCAGGCTGTCGATGTCAGTACCGGTATCACTATCAATATCACTACCAATTATGGTCCGGATCTCACTATCGATCTCACTATCGTTCTCACTGTCGTTCTCTCGAATCATCTGACTATCGCCCTCATTGATGATCTCACTATCGATCTCACTAACGATCACAACATGGACCCCACTATCAATCGCACACTTGGACTCACAATCGATCTCACATCCGATGTCACGACCGACACCACAATCGATCTCACAATCAATCTCATTATCGATATCACTGGCGATCTCACTGGCGTTCTCACGTTCGGTTTCACTAGCCACCTCACTATCGATCCCACAACCGATACCACTATCGATGACTCGGTCGAGCTCAATATCGGTCCAACGATCGATTCCACTAATCGAACTCACAATCGATATCGCTGTTGATCTCTCTATCGATCCCACTAGCGACCTCACTGTCGATCTCACTATCGATCGCACTATCGATCCCACTATCGATCCACTACCCATACCGCTAGCGATCTCACCATCGATCTGACGATCGATCTCACCATCGCTCTCCCTATCGATCTCCTTATTGGTCTCCCGATCGAACTCACAATCGATCTCCCTTGCGACATCCCGATCGACCCCACGATCGATGTCACTGTCGATTTCACTATCGATTTCACTATCGTTCTCACGATCGACTTATCAATCTCAACCCCACAATCGATCTCACGATCAACTTCTCACTACAGGGCAGTTTTTAATACATAGGATTTTAAAATATAGGATTCTTAATATATGGCGAATTTAGGAATAAGTTCATGCATGAACTCATCCTTGTTTTTATTACTAAATCCGTGCATTTTTAATACATGATCCGCGCGGAGCATGTATTAAAAACGGCACTGTACCGACCTCACATTAAATCTCACTATCGATATCACTAGCGATCAGTCGTCTGGTCACACTGTCGATCTCAGTTTCGGTATCACCATCGCTCTCACTATCGATCACACGATCAAGACCAATATCGATCTACCAATCGATCTGACCATCGATCTCACTATCGATGTATCTGTCGAACTATGTATCGAACTTACTATCGCTCTCACCATCGATTTCACGATCAATATCGCCAACGGCCAGACTATCGATCTCGTTACCGACCTTACGAAAGTTATCACCATCGATTTCAATTTCGATCTCAAAATCGATCTGCAAATCGACCTCACAATCGATCTCACATTTGACCTCCTATCAATATCACTTCAATCTCATTCTCGCTCTCACTCTCGATCTCACATCGACCTCACTACCGGTCCCACAGTCGAGCCCTCTATCGATCTAGTGATTGGTCTCGCAATCGAAGTCACGATCGACCTCACTATCAATATCACGATCGATCTCACTATCGATCGAACTATCGATCACACCATCAATATCGCCAACGTTCTCACGACCGATCTCACAAACGACCTTACGACCGATCGTATCATCGATCTCAAGATCGATCTCGCTATCGATAGTACTGTCGACCGCAACACCGGTCTCACTATCGACATCATGATCGATCTCACGATCGATCTTTCAATCGATCTCACTATCGCCATTGCTAACGACAACACGATCGATCTACAAAATAGATCTCACATTAAATATCGCTATCGATCTCACTAGCGATACAACTATCGATCTCACGACCAAGATCACAATCGATCTCACTATCGATCGCACTATCGATCTCTCCAGCGATATCACCATCGACCTCATAATCGATCTCACTATCAATCTCGCTACCGATCTCACGGTCGATCTCACCATTGATCACACGATCAACGTCTCACAACCGATATCACACTCGATCTCGCTATCGACCCAACTATCGATCACACTATCGACCTCTCTGTCGATCACACTACCGAGTTCATTATCGACCTGGCTGTCGATTTCATTATCGACCTCACAATCGATCTCACTATCGATCTCACTGTCGATGTCACTATCGACCTCACGAGACATCCCTTTACACCACAGGACAACTTGCCACTGGACGCCGCGGGCCCCCACGGGCCCCCACGGGACACCGTCGGGATACCACGGCGGGACACCCACGGCACCCGCCGACCAGCCCGGGGGGGGGGGGGGCGGACTTCTGCCCCAGCGGCGCGCCAGCCAGAGGAGGGTTCATTCCTCTCGCCCGCCCGCTTATCTTCGCCTCGCCCGCACGCACGACACGGACACGGAACCGGAACCGATTTCCCGGTGGGGGACTTCCCGTTCCACTGCGATCTCACATCCTCACTTCCGATGTTCTCTGAGGACCGAAACCAGCAGTTTTGCACATGCCACATCTTCGCAGCCGCATCCGAACTCCTGCGCGGTTTTCTCAGTGTCCTCTGGCAGGCACGGCGCAGCCATGCAACGCCACACCCAATGCGGCGCGGAAGCAGATTCGCAGCTGCTCTCTGTGGACGGTCGGGGGTGGACGCGGAGAAGCAGCCGAGCGACGACAACGGCTCAGTGGGGTGAAGAACTCACAGAAGAGTGCATCCGCAGGGGAGCCTTGGGCAGCCACCTCAGCACCCCCATGCTGCGAGAAGCCTCGAGGAGGGGGGAAGGGCGAGTGTGAGGGATGTGCGCGGGAGAATCGAGTCAGCAGCGGCAGGCGGGGACAAGGAAGGATGGAGTCAGGGGGAGGGAGAGAGGGAGGGGGGCAGGAGGGGGGGGGGGGCGGGGCGCAGGGCATGGGTGGGAAGGAGTAAGAGGGGAGGAGGGGCAAGACCTGATGCCCTCGAAAAGAGGGGAGGCTATCTACTCCCCAGTCCCAATCGGCCAGGTCGCTCAGCTCGTTGATCTGGAGGCTGAAGGCCACTGCGTGGAATGCCTGGCGCTGTGTCTCTTCGCCCCCTCTGATATCCCGCTCGGGCCGCACCCCCATCCACGTTCAGATGCACCGGTGGTGTGCAGTTCCACACACAAACACGCACAAGCACACACACATAACACACAAACACACACACAGAGAAACACACACAAACACACACACAAACACACAAAGCCAAGCACACACAAACACAACCACATAGCCACACGCACACACACACATAGACTTTTTGACGTTCGCGGCCTCGCGCGCAACGGCGAGGCGAAGTAGACACACACACACCACACACACACACGCACATACACAATTCTCTCTCACACACACACACGCACACGCACACGCACACGCGCACACGCACACGCACACACACACACACACACACGCGCACATTCACATTCACATTCACACACACACTTACACTCACACGCGCAACAACACAAAAGCTCACGCACACAAATACGCACTTTTGATCGTCGCAGCCACGCGCGCAGCGGCGTGGCGTAGAACGTCAGGCGAAGAGACGCGCGCGGCTGGCCCAAATCAATCGGCGTAGGGTTACTGGATCCAGCCGCGGGAGGGCAAGCGCGAGGGGAGCAGCGGTGACGGGGAGACGGAGAGACCTGGAGAGTGGGGGCCGACACGGGAGCAGTGCGCGGTGCAGGCGGGAGGGACGAGGTGCAGCGACGAAGCGCAACGGCGGGCCGAAAGCGGGCGAAGCGGCAGACAGACGAGGACCCCGGGCAAGCCAAACACAAAGATGAGACAGTAGCAGCGGTGCGCCGTGACAAGGACGCTAGGCACACACACACACACACACACATATTCACCGATAAGCACTGCACATGCCACCCGCATTCGCGAGTATGCTGTCGTTCACGCATGCCTTCCGCCGCCTGCTTCAACGGCAGCAACATCGAGGTCAACACCTGGTACGTCGTGTAGAGGTGTAGTGCCAAAGCTGCCTGGCAGCTCTGGCAGACTCCAAGAGGCGCCCAAGAGGCCCCAAGAAACCCACATCGGCTATTCAAGAAACTCAGCGGGCCCCGTGGAGCAAATGCATCGGAATCCCACCAGCCCTTTAGGGCGTGAGTGTTACAATGTTCCTTCTTCCAACCCCCCAATTCCCCTTCGGGGGGAGGGGCTTACAATTACACAATGAATAATACTCTCCTCTCTCCCTTGATGACGTCCGGAAGATGTCCAACCCCCGTCAACGCATTGTTTTTTACACACAAAATTCCCGGGAATTGGGTGTTCGCTTGTTTTCAAAATCGTGCTCCCGCTGCAGCGCTGGCTCATTTCCGCGCTTTCGCTCGTTCCGAATCGTGCTCCCGCTGCAGCGCTGGCCTCATTTCCGCGCCTCCGCTCGTTCCGAATCGTGCTCTCGCGGCAGCGCTGGCGTCGCAGTTTCCAGTGCCATACCACGGTATGGTTTTCGGTCCTTCCAAATAGCCCCCCAAATCTAGGAATCATACATTCGGCGTCGATTGGTTGATCTTTTGGGCCGCAGAAGCCCGCCCCACTTTGGGGCGTCGCCACGCCATGCTATTCATGCTACGCGTTGATCTTCAGCACCATGCTATGTCGTGTAATTAATGCTACGCCATGCTGCGACATCCGACTGTGCGACTAGAGAGGAGATCCACACCATGACAAGGGATGGGAGGGAAGGGTAGGACGTCAGATATGACGCGAGCGCACCTAGCTCTAGGTCGGGCGTGTCCTCCAACAGGCGGAGCTTGGACGAACATTTGAAAAAAACAGTGCTAAACAATTGTCATAACATCGTCCCCACCCTTTTTTTGTATGTTTTAATATTCTCCCTGTAGAGGGACATGCCCGACTGAAACGTAGCTTGACCCCTCCCCCTCCCCCCTCCCCCATGGGTCTGCAGGGGGTGGGCGTCGAGAGACGATAGAGCGTCCAAGACGACCGGAGCGCGAAGGCCAAACTGCTGGGGCTTCGTTGGCCTCCTGGCGGGAGACCCTGATTAAGTACCCTGCCTCTTTAGGTCAAACCTATCCAAGATGGCTCTTAGATTGCCCCCGAGGCTCCCGAAAGTGCCCCAAACGGGCCCCACGAGGCGCCCAGGAGGCTCCAAGAGGACACCAAGACGCCCCCAAGATGCCCCCAAGCAGCTCCAAGTGACCCCGAAGCGCCGAAGAGGCCCCAAGATGCCCCCCCGAGGCACCCAAGACGCTTCAAGAGGCTCGCGGGGCCACCAAGAGGCCTCGAAGACGCCCCAACAGGCCTACAAGAAGCTCTCGGGAGATATTCGAAACGACTCCGAGAAGCATCCAAGAGGCCTCTGGCCTTCCTGTTCGACACCATCGGGACACCACCGCGGTAGCATGTTGACACCATCGGGGCACCATCGGGACGCTCGAAGCCAGCGCCAGCCAACCGCCGGGGCACCCCCGAACCACCGTTGGCCAATCGGGGAGGAAACAACATTTGGCCCAATTTCGCCCTAACAACGGCGAGATCATTCCGCTCGCCCGCCCAGCCCACGCAGTTTCGCCTCGCCCGCTCGCACGTACGACACGAAACCGAAACCGATTTCCCCAAGGTGGGGTCCCCAACCTTCGACGTCACGCACATCCTGTCGAAATCAACTCCAACATGTGCTTCTCGCTTCTCACACATTCTCTGTGAAAGCAGCCTATATTCAATGATGTCTGGGCTTCCTATGGCGGGCGAGAGTGCAGGTAGTTAAATGATTCCAGATTTCCAGCCTTGTGGCCAGGCGCTCAACACATTTGCAAACCAAATGGGAAACCGACGATCGGTAAACCCAGCAATTTCCAACGCATACCTATGGAACCACCCTTCGGGTGATAAAGAGGTTGTGTGTGTGGGGGGAACCAGCTGATGACAACTGCGATGGGACACCATCGGGACACCCTGGGGACAACTGATTGCACCATCCGGACGCCGTCGGAACACCACCGGGAAACCACCGTGCTCCGCCTCCCCACGACTACTTGTCTATCGATCTCACTCTTTGCCTCACTATAAGTCTCGCTATCGATCAACATATCGATCTTACGATTGAAACGTACCTGCTTATCGATATCACTATTGCTTCCGCTATCGATCTCACTGTCCATCTCACTATCTGTTTGTCGATCTCACTATCGGTCTCACTACCGATCTATCGGTCTCACGATCAACCGCAATATCTCACTATCGGTCTCAATCCATATATATATATATGTTATTCGATCTCACAATTGATCTCACCGCCCGTCACTCTATCAATATACCGATAATCGGGCTCACTTCCCATCTCACAATCGATCACACTATCAATCCATCGATTCCGCTATCGATCTGTCTCACTGTCCATCGATCTCACTATCTATCATCTATCTATCGATCGATCTCATGGGACAACCATCGGGGTAACATCGGGACACAATCGGGATACCATCTGGACACCATCGGGTCACCATCGGGGCACCATTGGGACACCCATGGGGACATCATCGGGACACCATCGGAACACCATCTGAACACTATCTGAACACCATGTCGACACCATATGGACGCCATCGGGGCACCCTCGAAACAGAATCGGGACACCATCGGAACACCCCTAAACAGCCGCCAGCCAACCGGCAGAACACCCACGAACCATCGCTGGCCAACCGGGAGGGGGGGCAGCATCAGTTGGTCCGGTTTCGCCCTAGCAACGGCGAACTGATTCCGCACGCCCGCCCACGCAGTTTCGTCTCGTCCGCCCGCCCGCACGATACGAAAGCGAAACCGACATGCCGGCTGGGGGTCTCCGTTTCTCTTCGGTCTCACCCCGAACCTCCGACTACTGCGCCACAACTAAACATATGTGAAAGCAATGGCAGAGTACTTCAAATTCGGGAACTGTATTTTGAAAAGGTTGCGACGCGACCTTTCGTCATCATAGAGGAAACCTTCGATACTGTTTTGAAGCCGGAACCCATACTCATCCAACGATGGAAACTTTGACGACTCAGTCAGTGTTTAGCCCTTCCACGAAGAGTGGCAATAATGCAAACCGTACAAATGTTGTTCAAGCGCAGCTGCAACAGAACGCATGTGTTGCCGACACATAGCACCAATAACATCGCTTGTAATAAGGGGACGGGCAATGACATAAACACAACAACTCTGACCTCAGAGCTTTTATGTTTATGTCATTGTTCGTTCTCACAAGTTGCAAGGGAACAAGTTGCAAGTTGTTATGTTTTATGTAAAGGGAATAAGCTCACAAGTTGCAAAAAAAATGGCCAGGTCTGCTATACAAACAAAACGCTATCGTATCCAGCCTCGCTGCCTGACCGGTTCACATCCCAAACGACATGCAATTCGCACCGTGAGCTTGTCTGATGTATCCGCCACCGTGCCGCTGGGCACGGCGTGGGCGCGTCCTCACGTCCTGCGCCAGGAGAGCCCAACATCGAATCGATAAATCGGTTCAGTCGGTTCGGCGATCGAAATGAGTCGGATCGGCGGAAATCGGCAGCCGAGTCCGGAGAAGTCGAATCGGTGGACATCGGCAGGATAGTATGTCTCCAGGAAGGAATCGGAATCCTCATCGGAATCCGAAATCGAATCGAATCGGAATCGGAAGCCATCGATATCGAATCGAATCGGAGGAATCGAAATCCTCTGAGCCTCTGTCCTCAGTCCTGAAGAGTGTTAAGGGGACCCGGACCCCAAACTGCCAAATCTTCCGGGGCTTGGAGCAGTTCCCCTGGGGCTTGCCGCGGCTTCCCGCTGGACTCTTTCGGGCCCAGGACGGCCCCAAGATCGGCCAAGAAGGCTCTTACAGGCCCTCAAGACGGCCCAAGAGCGCTCCAAGGCGCCCAATGATCGCTCCAAGACGCCGAAGGTGGCCCCAAGACAGCCAAGGAGGCCTCCAAGACGCCCCCTCGAGGCCTCCAAGAGGCTTCCCAAGAGGGCCCCCAGAGGCCAAAACCATTGAAGGATTTCGGCATTTTGCCTTTTCGGCTTCCTGACGCTCCCAGACGGCCCTAGAGGCCCCCAAGACCACCCCAAGACGGCCGAAGAAGCCTCCAAGAGGGCCTGAAAACAGCCGAAGAACGACCCCAAGCAAACCCAGGAGGCGCCCAAAACAGCCCACGAGGGCCCCAAGATGGCCCAAAAAGGTCCCAAAAGAGAGAACCATGACTGAAGATCTGAGCCCCGCCGCCCCAAGAGGCCCCCGAAAGGCCCCAAGAGGCGCCCAGGAGGCTCTACGCGGCTCCCAAGAGGCCCCGAGAGGCTCTGAAGAGACCCAAAAGGTGCCCCAAGAGACCCCCGAGAGGCCTCCAAACTGCCTCCAAGAGGCTCCCGAGACGGTTCCACGAGATCCCAACGAATATCCAGTAGGCTTCAATCCCACAACGCAGGCACGGTGGCGAGCTGGGCCGAAGGCCGTTGGATAGACGCCATTGGTGCACCCTTGCAGTCCGCTTGGCCAGTGGACCAATTTCCCCATACGACTGACTCTTGACGATTTGTAATCGTGAGCGTTGTCCTTTGGTCACTCATCGGATAATTATCAGGGCTGCCAATACCGTAAAGCTCCCAGCATGTGTTGGACCAAGCATCGGCATACACAGGCTCTGACCACGATTGTGTTTGTGACAAGGGCAACAATCCCATAAAAGGCTTTTTGACGACGACAACCGATAAGCGAGAGGAATCACCAACAACGCCCATCTTCAAAGTCCAGACCCAGTCGTTGCTGAGAGCAAACGAAGTAAATAAACGCTCGCCTGGTTCACATGGATACGTTGTCCCAGTGGCAGCCTTTGCCTGTGTCTTGTTACTGGTCTCATTAAATATTTCAAAGAAGTACTGCGCCCCGAAGACCCATGTAGCACGCTTGTGCCACAGAGGCGTAAACAAGGGTGGTCCAGTCGAGCCGTCCAGAGGATTTCCTAACATAAGCTGCGGAACGAATTGATTCATTCGAGCATCGGTTCCCATCGGCCCAGGTGCCTGCCAGTCGATATTGTAGTACACGAAGAATGTAGGTCCGACGATCTTGGGCAACTCGGGAACATTAAACTCCGCGTAATGGAATGTCCCACTTGCTGGGTAGTGATGGAGATCACTACACATTCCAGAATGGCACTGCGGAGTAGACCTATCGCCCACAATTGTCCTCGGCGCTCCAGCTAAGTCGTAAAACTCTGTCAAAGACGACCGCGCATCCCTCATGCAAAACACAAAGCATAATAATACAAGTTCAAGTGACCACATTTTGGTGAACGAGCAAACCTAGAATGAGACTATAACAAATGCGGCAGGGGCACTTGCGTCGAAATGGCTCGGCCAATATTGCTTGGGCAAACATTGCTTGAACCACAATTTTTACGCACATTTGAATCATAATCCGTCGACCCCGCTTGGCGCGGGTGAGAAGGCGTGTGAAATGATTGGCTGTCTCCCCTCCCCCAGGGTCGCTCGTTGAAGGGGGAGGGTATCCGGACTCCCCGGCGCACCCCTGGAGACTCTGGAGCTTCCCAATCTGCCTTCCATGGTCTAGAAGGCGTTACACGACGGTCCCGAATTGCTGACCGATTGGCCCAAGACACCTGCGATGGCTCGAAGAGACCCCAAGACGCTTCGAGACGCCCCAAGAGAGGCCAAGAGCCTTCCCAACAGTGCCCAGAGAGTAAAACATCAATGGTTTTCCGTAGGCTGTTCACTGTTTCTGGGGTTACGGCTTCTCGAGCTTCCGGCGCTCCAAGACGGCCACAAAACTGCCCATTAGGCCCCTACGAGGGCCGCAGGACGGCCCGACGAGGAGCCCAAGACGGCCAAAGATCGCCCCGAGCAGGCCCAAGAGAGGACCAAGCGGGAGAGCACGTTCCGAAAATCCGGTCTTGGCCCCCCGAAGCCCCCGAGCGGCCCAAAAGAGGCCCACGATGGGCCCCCAAAAGGCCCCCAAGGGGCCCCAAAGATGCCCCCCAGCGGCCCCCAAGACGCTTCAAGGCTGCCTCCAAGAGGCTCCACCAGGCCCCCAAGCAGTTCCCAGGAAACACAAACGTCCCCTACACAGTGCCCAAGAAGCCCGCGACGCCTCAACCGTGGACTCCCTTCTGGGGTCGGCGGGATGGTGTAAGCCTCTAGAATAAATCCACCGCTCCACGAAATAGGACCACGCACAACACGATGAAAATCAGGTGTATCCTCAGGCAAGCTGACACTTAGATAATCTGAAATCTATGGACTTGCTGGAGAAGGATCAGCACGCGAAAGCGAACGCACATAATAGCAGGGAAGTCGACGCAGATGGTGCCTCATACTCTTCATCAGACGTGATGTGTTATCGTAGAGTGGACGATCACAGACGTACATGCCCGTATGTGTACATCGTACATGCCCGCAAGTGCAACTCCCACTATCTGTACTAATACCCGCCACCGTGCCCCGAGACACGGAGAGGAGTGCCCTCAGGTCCCTTAGAGCCCTCCGTATGGAGTATTATAAGACTCTGCAACGGGCCCATAGCCCAGAGTTACTGGCGCTCCTGGGGCTCCCCGCGTGACTTTTCTGGAAGCAAGAGGGCCAATAGACTGGCAAACGGGGCCCCAAGAGGCCCCCAGGACGGTCCAAGTGGGCCCCGAGTTGCCCAACAATCGTTCCAAGATGCCAAGATGGCCTGAAGACGGCCCAAGATGCCGCCAAGATGCCCGAAGCGAGACCCAGGCATGGTAGCGGGATAGGCCGAATGCCACTATATACCTATCCTGGAACGTGTCGGACAAATTGATAAGAACGCCGTCCCTCAGAGCATAACGCATTACATCGCTGCCTCGACTTCTCATCCTGCCCCTCCCACTCCTCCTCCTCCTCCTCGTCCTCCTCCTCCTCCTCATCATCAGCAGCATCATCATCCTCAGAGCCTCCTGTTAGGAGGAAGAGACTCCTCCTCCTCCTATCATGCCTCCACCTCCTCCTCCTCCTCCTCCTCCTCCTCCTCCGCGCCCCGCTGCTCTTCCATCCATATTCGTCTGTTTCTCCTCTCTTCTTCGGCTGCTCCTTCCTGCACCGCCTCGCCCCTCCACCCGAAACTGCCCGTGCGTGCCCGAGCCTCACCGAACTTGGTCTCGGTCCGCTTGACCCAGCCGAGGTCTCCGGCCATATCGCGAGCCTGAGCAGCTCTTCAAAACAGACGGCTGGCATCGGAGAAGGCCCAGCCGATGCAGCAGCGACACGCTTCCCCTTGTGGCCCTTCGTTGGTGGCAGCCGCCCGGGCAGGCGCGAGCGATGGCGCGGTTCGATCTGTGTGAACTCCTCCGTGGGAGGGGGGGCTGCTGGGCCTTCTCTCAAATGGCGGTGCTGAAAGTGCCAGGAGGCTTCAGACTGCCCCCAGACTGCCAGGGATGCGACGCGTGGGAAAGCCCCACACATGCTCTTCTTCTTCCTCTTCTTCTTCTTCTTCTAGACTCTGCTTCCAGCCCTAGGCTGCAGGACGATGAAGACGAATGAACCATGATGGTGATTCTGGTGCCTCGTGCAGAGCTCAAGACGCAACGGCTGGAATAGAAGCAGAAGAAAGACAAGACAAGAGGCAGGCATGAGGAGACACGACATGAGAAGGGAAGAAAAGGACGAGGCACAAACAAGGACAACGGGGCAGCGCAATGGACTCCCAGACAGAGTGGCGTGGCTAACTTCTTGGCCCTTTAACCCTCCCCTCGTCAGAGCATGTTGGGCTCTCCTCCACTTCCCCGCCCCCTCCCTCCACCCTGAACGCAGAGGAGCGTCTCCCTCCCTCAGCTCCCCCTGATGCAGGATGGTAACAGGAATGTTCTGGTAGTGTGGGATCGCAAGCGGGTTACCACGATTGCCATTGTTGAGGGAAGAAATAGCATGTGGTCCGATTGGCCTGGTGGAAGAGGCGTTCGCATGCTCCGCGGATGATGCACTGACCTGCTTCTTCACGTTCCGAATGCACTCAAGAGGATCGCCCCCATGCACCAATGCTGGCCAAACGCGGAACAGTCTTCCGCCACCGTGCACCCCGGCTCGCTGAGGCGTGGTATAACAAGGGCTCCCAACTTCGCGCTTCGCGCTCCGCGCAGCGCGAAGCGCGAATAACTTCGCGCTCTCGCGCCGCCCCCCCAAAGGGAGAAGAGGAGGACGAGGAGGAGGGGGGGGAGGAACGAGGCCCGCGAAGCGCGAAGCGCGAATAACTTCGCGCCCTCGTGGGAGCCCTTGTATAATGCCACGTGCGCGACGAATCAGTGAGACTTCCGCGAGATGGCATAGCGACCTCTCGCGGTGGCTCACGCGGGCCGCAAGCGCGGCACGCTGCACTTGACGCGAGAGCGCTCACGTGCGACCTCGCGCGGGCAGCTCGCGCGCCAGTGTCGGCGTAATTAGCCGACCCCGTTGTCTGTGCTACTCGGATGCTCGCTGGGAAATGTGCTGTCTTCTGCGGGAGCCCCCCATCCTCCCGGGCACGCTTCCTGGCGTGCACCGCCCTCCCGGGCCGCGCCGACGCCTTCCGGGCGCTCTCCGAGGCTCTGCGAGGCTTCCAGGACAAGGGCTTCGAATTTTCGCGCTCCGCGCTGCGCGGAGCGCGAAGTGCGAATAACTTCGCGCTCTCGCGCCGCCTCCCAGGGGAGAGGGGGAAGAGGAGGAATCGGAGCCGAACCGCGAAGCGCGAATAACTTCGCGCCCTCGAGGGCGCCCTTGCCAGGACGATCGAGGAAGACCACCAAATTCTCCAAGATGGCGCAAGATGACTGCAAGACTGCCTAAAATTGCACCAAGGCGGCCCAAGATTGCCTGACGGCCCAAGCTACCCTCAAAGAGGCCTAGGAAAGCTCCAAGAGGTCATAACGCATTGATGCGCATGCCATTTTGTTTGGCAACTTCCGGCGCTCTCGCCTTTCGAGCTTCCATCAGCCTGAGACGGCCCAAGAGGCCTCCAAGATGGCGTCGAGGCGGCCCACGAGGGCCCCAAGACAGACCAAGATGACTACCTACCAGATCACCCCAACCCAACCCGAAGACCCGAATTTCGGGTGGGGGGGGCACGGGTTCCATATGTGTTTTCTCGATGTTCCACGACCCCCCCCAACTGGAAATCGAGGATAAATTGGGGCCTTCGGGTTGGGTTGGGGTGGTTTGGTGGGTGGTGACAAGAGGCCTCCAAGACGGACTGAAAGAGCCCTGGACGACCTGGACGAGCCACCCGAAGACGACCCGCAGAGGGCCCAAGTACGAAACCCGAAGGCGCCCAAGGCGGCCCAAGAGCGCCCCGAGACGGCCCAGGAAGCCCCCAGCTGATCTCCCGAGGGGCCCCCCTCCTTCTCCTCCTCCTCCTCGTCCTCGTCCTCCTCCCTCCTCCTCCTCCCTCCCTCCTCCTCCTCCTCCTCCTCCCTCCTCCTCCTCCTCCTCCTCCTCCCCTCCTCCTCCTCCTCCTCCTCCTCCTCCTCCTCCTCCTCCTCCTCCTCCTCTCCTCCTCCTCCTCCTCCTCCTCCTCCTCCTCCTCCTCCTCCTCCTCCTCCTCCTCCTCCTCCTCCTCCTCCTCCTCCTCCTCCTCCTCCTCCTCCTCCTCCTCCTCCTCCTCCTCTCCTCCTCCTCCTCCTCCTCCTCCTCCTCCTCCTCCTCCTCCTCCTCCTCCTCCTCCTCCTCCTCCTCCTCCTCCTCCTCCTCCCTCCTCCTCCTCCTCCTCCTCCTCCTCCTCCTCCTCCTCCTCCTCCTCCTCCTCCTCCTCTCCTCCTCCTCCTCCCTCCTCCTCCTCCTCCTCCTCCTCCTCCTCCTCCTCTTCATGTTCATCATAATCCCGCCGCCCAAGCCGGCTCGGGCCCGCGTCCTCGTCGGCGCTCATCAGGCAGCGCGGGCTCGAGGAGGAGGAGGAGGAATCCCACCAGCCCCGCGGGCGTAGGCGGTCTAACGATGTCTTACCCTCCTCCCGTCGGGGAGGAGTTCCCTCTCCATCCCCTCCCTGCGTTGCTTTGTGCGGGGGCCGATCGGCTACATCGTCCAAGAGGGCCCAAGGTGGCCCCAAGTGGGCGTCTGGTGCTCCACGTTGGCCTCCAAGATAACTCAAGATAGCCGAAGATGACTCACGATGGCTTCCATCATGCTCCGCGAGGCCCCAAAAAGACCGCTCCACGACGGCTCAAAGTATCCCTGGAGCTCCCAAAAGCCCCCCCAAGAGGCCAACATCCTTCACACAAGAACTTCTAAGTGTGTGTTTGCCTTCTTGCCTTTTCGCTTCCGATGCGCTTCTGAGGCCTCAAGATGACCCCAGGGTGGCACAAGAGGGCCGCAAGAGCGGCCCCAGAGGCCCCCCAGACGGCCAAAGAAGGACCCCAGAGGGGGGAATCAAATCGGGAACCCCCTCCTTTGACCGATACCCTCAAAGATAGGCAAGCACTACCCATCGGTCGGAAGAAGTAGGTAGAAAGATGAAGCAGGAAGGCGTTGCAAGTAGATTGGGTCTCCGCCCGCCCCCCTAAAGATGAGGGATGAGGGGAAGCCACTCGATCCTTGACGTAGGAAGGTGCTCGAAGTAGAGTGGAATCTGAGAACCCAGAAATACCTACTTTCAACGACCGCCGATGGGCATTTGGGGAACAGAACGTCGGAGGGACGACGGCAAGAGGCCGCCCTCCACGGCTCCCAAGAGGGCCCCATGAGGGCCCCAAGAGAGCTCCAAGGCGGCCTCGACAGCGCCCAAGAGCGCCCCATGATCGTCCCACGATGGCCACACGAGGCGGCGTGCTTCCTCCTCCTCCTAGCTCCTCCCTCCTCCTCCTCCTCCTCCTCCTCCTCCTCCTCCTCCTCCTGCTCCCCCTCCCCCTCCTCCTCCTCCTCCTCCCCCTCCCCCTCCTCCGCCTCCTCTTCCTCCTCCTCCTCCTTCTCCTCCTCCTCCTCCTCCTCCTCATTCTCCTCTTCTTCCTCCTCCTCCTCCCCTCGCCCCCCGCGGACCCCAGGCATGGCCCGACGAGGCCGTCCAAGAACACCCCATTGCTCCCAGAGATGTCTCTGTTCATCCTGGTTGCCCGCTCTGTTTCCTTTCGCTATGTGTGTCTCTTCGTCCATTTTCCCGTCGGCTCTCATGGGCAGGGTTTCTGAACGGGCTGGTGGGGATGCTTTCTTGGTCGGCGGCTCCGAGGCAGCGGACAGGGAGCGGAAGGCGTCGTCTGGGCCAGCAGGCGAGGCGAATTAGCTACTGGTGGGGGGGATGCGCGAAGCGTGCAGAATCGTCGTTCTGGCTGCGGCATCTCTTCTTTGAAGGGGCCCACAAACACACAAATAAATACACACAAATAAAAGTATTCCCCATATTTTCCCATATGTTCTGGGTTTTTGTCTTCCCCCCCACTTCCCATATTTTCGCATATTTTCTGGGGGTCGTCGATTAATTGTGTCTGTGTGTTTCTTTCCCTCCTGATTCTTGGAGGAATGGAAGGAGGCATGAACATCAACTTTCGACGGTCCGCACGGACTTCTTGGATCGGCGTTGGGCCCGGGGGCCGATCCCAGAAATCCGCCCCGACCTCCGACAAATCGTGCTTCTGCCG